GAAATTTTGAATTTAAATACATAAATTATATGTAGAATTTATAAATACACATTATATTTTAATATTAAAGGATTCATACTGTTTAGATATCAGTAGTTTACAAAAATAATGTAATACACGTAAAATATTTATTTATTATTTTTTATAATCATCTCTTTAAATCTCAAAAGTTCTTTATTTTTAATCTTACACAAATCTATACATAAATACGCATTGCTATCTCGTATCCTTTTAAGTCATCTTTCTGTCATAATTTATATAATTATTGTTTGCCTATATGGATACTAAAAAAAAGAAAGGTATCTCGAATATAGTTTAGAATATAAATAAGTGTAAATAAGTAATAAGAAATATACTGCCTAATTTTGATTTAGATTGTACTAGCAATTAAAGCTATCCAATATGTACATATATATGTCAGGTGTACGCAATGCACACATGCGTGTACACATGTACATACATGATATAATTTTCATACATCGAAAAGCGTAGTTTATAATAGAAATACAAAAGTGTATTTTAGTAAATTACATAAACCTCGTGTTTATTAAAAAAGTATATTCAATGAAGATGTCGCAACTGATATGTTACTCTCGCTTGATTTGGCACAAAATATTGAAAAGCTTTCAAACAATATCAATTGCAAAAAGTAAAATGTATTGATAAATGCGCGAAGTAGCGTCGCGTAAGCGCTGAAGTGTCGTAGGTGTAATATATACATACGCAACGGAACGGATACGCTAAAAATCATGAAGGCAATGCGCCCCTGGCGGCCAGCAACGTAAATAATCCTTGCGGAAATAATTATCGCGATTTATGTTATTTGCAAATGTAAGAAGAATCATTAATGAGGGTATGTCAAGTAACGGCGATTAGGATGATATACGGACCCTGTAGCGTTCCCGGTTGCACTTCAAGTGAGTGAAAATCGTGCTTGGTGCGGGGTGAGTGTCTAAATCGTTCATTCCCCCCGTTTTTAAAGGGGGGCGGTGGCTCGCATCAGTGTTTTTTTATCGTTTCTTTAGACGTCTTCATCCCGAAAATAACAATGGCCGGAGGATTCGAATATGCATGGACTTTTAAAATGCCAAGCTTGCTACCCTGGCAACCTACACGTATTTTCCTGATCCCTTTTTATTACCTGTGTCAATTAGCATCGGTACGGTTACTGTACATTGTAATTTTTTTTTCGATTATTTTTGTAGAAATTAATTACTCAAGTTAGAAAATTTTGTAATTTTGATTGCTAGAAAATGATGACACTTTAATAAATGCTGATATAAAGTTACTGTATCTACCAATTTATTAATTTTAGTCATTCCTTTTATTTATGATTTAATGTTTTTAGTTTTGAAATTTATTATTGTGTGCTTATTGAAAAATGTTAAATTGAATGATTATCTTTGTATAGAATGGACTTGGCAGAAACTATGAAAAATATAGTTGCCAAAGGTATGCAAACCGAAATGGGACCACCAGGCGGAGGTTCTGGTTATCCTGGTGCACCTAGTAGTGCTGGTTATGTTACGGAGAAGATGTACATGTTATTACAAGCATATCTTCAAAATAAAGGTTGGAATTCAAGCATCGAACTTCTTCAATGTTTTTCCGAGTTCAAGGATGCATCTATGATCCCAAGTGGTGCTTATTTGCAGTAAGGATACATAATTTAAAATTTATATATATAATAAAACTTTTATTTGTATTTTCTCATTATAGAAAACTTTTTATTTAATGCAATATTTAAATTTCCATAGTATTTTTATAATGTGTATTATAACATATAAACAGGATGATGGCATCAAGAATAGCTTTGGACTCTCAGGGTAGGCTAGTCCTTAGAGAAAATGGAAAGATAATATTGCCCTATGAACATTTTGCGAATGCTGTGATGTTAAAGCACATGAATGGTCCACATGGTTTACATTTGGGCTTAGAGGGTACAGTTAGAGCTGTTATGGAATCATACACTATTGGAAGAGAATGTTTTGGTATGGAAAAAGAATTTATAGTAGAAGTGGTACAAAATTGTCCAAATCCTGCGTGTCGCTTTTATAAAAATCAATTGGAACTAACTCAAAAAATGGGACATATGCCACCAACGTATATCCAAGACAATGAAACAACTGCTTCTCTTTTACGTAGTAGTTTCCCTCATAATACAGATTTTCAAGCAGTAAGTATACGTGCATTTTGATTAATTTGTCTGGAAATTTATTATTTATTGAATACCTGAAATTTAATAATATTTTATATCTTTATTATAGACCTTAAGTGGTGCTAATCCAAATACTCATATGGGAGGAGGATCTACTACGGATTTGTCAGAAATTAGAGGTGCTGGAAATCAAATAAATCTTCAACGTCCTCCAAGCCGTCCATCATTAAATATTCCACATCGACCTGTGTCACAAGAAAAAAAAGTTGCCACTGGAAAACAACATTATGAATCTTTAGTACCTACAATTTCAATGACTGATCATAAATTAACGGATTTCTTAAGAACAAATTTGGATAATTTGGACAATCTCACTGGACTTGGTTTAGGTAACTTACAAGGGATAGGAAATGCAAATAAGGATTTGTTAGCTTTACATAATGGAGCTTGGCCTTTGGAAAATGAGAAAGGATCTCGGTCATCTACAAACTCAGAAGGTAGTTAGTAAACCACAGTGTTTATAAAATATAGTGAATATGATTATAGTTTATATTTATTTAAATTTCATTATTTCACAGGTGGACAAGAGAAAATAGTTAGGGCTTTTGCTGAAGTTATGAAAAATATGGCACGAATGAAGGCTTGTGTACGTCCTGCAATGTGTAAACCTTATGGAAAGCAATCAGAAGCTTTGCAAAAAAGTAAAAGAAACCATTTAATTTACTATAATCAATTTTTCAATGTGATAATGTTGTATTATACATTGTTATATTAATGCATGATTCGCGAATACTGTTTTCAAAATTTTGTTCCATTACATCAGTTAACGAAACATATGTATATTTCATCATTTATTTTATTACAGCACTGGTTGATACTATACAGCTGGTGCAGTCATTACGAAGTTTTCTGCCACCTCCACAAATTCCTGTTTCAAGCTGGAAAAGTGAAGATAAACATCGACTAGATCATACGGGTACACCTTATCTCCCGTCATTGTAAGTATTTCATATGGTTTGTGTTATAAATATACCCTCGTTACATGACTAGAGATATCAAATAAAGAGTTATAATTTTTATGCAGAAAGGCTGGAGGTTTAGAAGACTTGTGCGAACAACGCAAGCTAGACTAAACAATGTCTTCGCTTTTTAAGTGTCAGACCAGGTTCTATCTTTGCGCTTTATGATGTCCTAGTCATGTGGTGTTTATGGGTTAGATGGGTGTTTTATCTTTAAATCACCCGAAGGATTGCTCAAATGTTGTTGGCGTTTAGGACCTCAAAATACTAAGAGACAAAATGAGTCATGCGTGGACTGTGATAAATGTGGGTAGTGAACAAAATTATATATAGTCAATCGAAACTCATACCATTATTTCAGATACAAAACAGCTTTACTTTGTTGCTATAATTTTTCATGAGTCTTTACGATCTGCCTATGGGGCTTAGTTGATAATAATGACTAGCTAATTTTGAATTATTGGCAAATTATTACATAATTTGCAACTTGGAAGTGTTATAGAACAGCATTTATATTTTGTTATTATATATTATTTTAATAAGTCACCATTTGTGTTCTAATAATTGATATATCATAAAGATTATTTATAGACATTGTGAATATTATTTATGAATTTATAGAAGGTGTTTCGTAATTTAACGTATAATCAGAAAGTGAGGGTTATATTTCTAAATGAAAATATGTTAAAAATATAGAATAAATTGTTTTTGTAATAGACTTCATTTTTGTGAAAATTTTGTTTGCAATTTTGCTTATGTTTGCATATTTCGTTTATTATAGTTAAAGTTAGATTGTTCTAACAATTTTGGTGCTTACACACTACCATTAAATCCAAATTTTCTCAAAAATGAAACTGCTTATAAAAAAATTTTGTTCTACATTTTCGGTTACGAAAAACCTTTTATAAAAGAACTTTATATGCACTCATCCCTCGATTTAAGCGGCACGTTTTTTAACACTATTTACGCAATACTTTTTATGCGCGATCTGAATTTAGTAACATATCGTATAAAATGTGTTTGTTTTCTGAAATATCATTATTATTAACTTTTTGTTAAGCTATGTGGAATAAATATGTATTTTTCAAACTTATACCAGCTTTTATTTCCAATATTTTGTTTTTTCTTGTACCGACAGACTGTACGCGATTTTTATTCATGTAAATCGAATCCACGTGCAACGGAGTTTTGCGTAAATCGAGGGTCAGGTGCATATTAAAATTTTAAATGATGTTTAGAAATGAAATTTGTTTACATCTGAAATAATTGATACTTATTCATAGTTGAGAATACCTTAACTATGAAATTATAAATATATGATTATAATTCTTGTTATCATTTGAGTTTATACTATTTACTTTTTGAATCTTCTAACGTTCATTATACAGAGTGCATCATGAAAAACAGATTTTTTCAAATGGCTTTAAAATGAGAAACATATCATAAGAAATTAATATTTTTCTTATAATATGGTAACCGATATTTTTGATATGTGAGTGTATTATGTGTAAGCATTGTTCTCTTTTACACATTATTACGTAATTAAATATTAATTGCAATAATGTTAGTTTATTTGAATAGATCTCAAAATTCATTTACCTTTTTGCTCATTTAGCCTGTTTCTCCTAAAAAGAATTTAATAAATTATTCGAAACGATCACTTCTCGTGTACGTACACGTTTTCAGTCGGTCCTTTTTCGCTTTTATTACTCGTCTACCGCTGTATACGCCACTTCTAGTGGTATCAAAGTTACTGTTTTTATCAAATCTTTGATATTTTGACGAGGACTGAAGTAGAAATTTTCTTCTAAAACATTCCACAGTCAGTAATCCCAAACATTGATATTTTATTATTGTTAGTTTCCTAAAAGCCAATCTTCGGCAACGATAAACTCGGGCAAATTTACCTCCAATCAGCCAAGTTACTGATTATAGTTGATCTTAAAGTTCGTCGTTGCTATTTTCTGTTAGGGGTACGTTTCCGATGCGTCGGTTACTCTCATCGAGACAGGTTTGAAGGTTTTGAGTTTGGTCTTTCAGCAAGTTGGATGAATTTTCACGGTACGAGTATTTGTTGGAACCGTTCGCTTGATTATTGTCTTCGATCAACAACCTGCCTAACCGAGATAGTGATCTGTCTGCGAATGTGGTATCTCACAATAATCGAATGGTGATGTTGATACGCTCTATTCCTCCTAATAAATATAACTCTTGGATCACATCAATTTACTCTAGTCTAATCCTTGCTAAATACGCTTTAACAAGTCTTTATTAATGGGAGTAATAGAGTCCGTGATACGCTGTTTTAAATTTGTTATATTTAAAGAAATAGAGGGGGTAAATAATCTTATTTTTTAAATAACACCCTCATGAAAAAGGTCATAGGGTGTTACATTGGGATTTCATGTTGATCAATTAACAAGTGGAAAATTGTTTGTCAATTTATACATTGAAAAAGTTTACATTAAAATTAGTATTTTTTTTTTAATTTAAGAGCGCACCTATGGTTTGGCTCAACGTGTCTCTCGATATCTTGAATAAATCTTTTTGCACAAAGCATTGAAACTGTTTACTCCTTTTACGATAATCTTGCATTATTGCAATAAAATAGTACAATCTGGAAAGTTATACTTATTATTGGCAATACGTAGACATAATTTTACAGGTGGCATGTTCTTTGCGAAACACTCTGTATATTAGTGAAATATTTGATTAAAGTAATCGTAGCCATGACAGATTTTTCTAGTGAAACATTAAACTTGTATATATATATGATTGTCTTGAAATTCGTATTAAACGAATTATTATTTATTTGTAAAAATAGATTGAACGTACAGTGAAGGGAAAAACTGAACGCGTGCATAGAATTTTCGCGTAAACATTATTTTATTCAGTGTTCGAATGTAAAGTGTAAAAAACGAGTGAAATGTTTGATATTCACAATCTTTTCCTTATTATAGAAAATAATATTTCCGTATAGGTATCTACTATTCTTTTATTTTCCATTAGTCAGTAATTATCCTGAAGTTCTAAATGACTGAATGTGCAGTCAATTTTTCATTAATTTTGCAGTACTTTTTGCGTTATCATTCCTGAGATATGATATTGTTCGTTGGTTAAGTTTTTCCTAAAAAGGAAAACATTCAAACATTTTGTTCTCTTATGCTACATATTCAAGCAATGAATACAATATTATTTACATTGACGATTCCGAGCGTATGTGTTCAATTTTGCTTCCTACTATGTATATTGTTATTAAGTGTAATATTATTCGGTAGAAAAAGTGAACGATGTTGAGACTTGTAATAACGAATAAGCTCCATAGGCAGAATTGGCAACATGTGGGGTGCGTGTCAATAAAAAAAATCATTGATCGATTCGTTCTGAGGAATGTATCACTAAATCGTGAACAAGTTGCATTACTAAGAGAAAAACAAAGTCTTTACGGTGTGACTTGGAACTGATGCTCAAAATTTTCTCTTCGCGCGCT